CAGGCGAAATTTGATTGGCTGAATATATGGCAGCCATCTTGGATGGTACACACACACAGCTCTGCGTATTTCGAACATCGAATACATTGCGGTTAGCGCTCTAGTATTCTTATTATATCTCTATGGTACAGCTAGTCAGCACCATAGAGCTATTAAACAACTAGAGTGCTGACAAGATGGCGCAGCAATGCAGAGTTATGTATGTGTACCATCCAAGATGGCGTCGTAGTAAAGCGCCACCTTCAGGCTTAGTATACATATTATTATATATTAATAAGCCCTCTGTCTGACTATTATTTCATTAATGATAATGAGTAATGGTAATAACAAATTATTAAACTATTGTAGCCAAAACGAGGCCAAGTGAAGCATCTTATTCAAAAATAAAGTACCAAGGAATAAAAATTAAAATCGTATACATTACACCCAAACACCGCAACGCTCGAGTTTCAAACATACAGGTAACTAGCTGTACTAAACACTCTGAGTAAATTGAGGGCGCATTTGCAAACGATGGCGCTTAGCGAAATTTAATTGGCTAAATCTATGGTAGCCATCTTGGATGGTACACACACACAGTTCTGCGTATTTCAAACATCGAATACATTGCGGTTAGCGCTCTAGTATTCTTATTATACCTCTATGGTCAGCACTCTAGTTGGTTAATAGCTCTATGTAAAGAACGCAATGCCACGACACGCCCGCAACGGATCATGCTTAATAACGATCGGTTCAGACTGCACCAGGGCAATCACCAGGCGGCGTCGCGTCATCTAGCGCTAAAAAAAAGGGGGGGGGGGAACGGAATAGGATTCGTCGTACGACGCAGTGAATGCCCGGCTTATTAGATCTGATTTTATAACATTTTGTTAACTACTGAAATGAAAGCTTTCCAACAAACCTTTTTAGCGAGTTGCTGATTATTTGAGAATGCGATAAATCCCATCGTGGTTCCCTGGGAATGGCCTACATAGGATAGCTGCTTCTGATTGGTTACTTTTAAAACATAGTCCACCATTGATGGTAAGTCAATTGCGGCCATCTCATCAAAACTATCACAAAAGTGGTTGTTAATGATTACCGTATATAAATATATAAGATGTGTATAAGAGACAGAAACAACTAGAGTGCTGCCAAGATGGCGCAGCAATGCAGAGTTATGTATGTGTACCATCCAAGATGGCCGTCGTAGTAAAGCGCCACCTTCAGGCTTAGTATACATATTATTACATATTAATAAGCCCTCTGACTGACTATTAACGATTTCATAAATAATAATGTAATAATATAAGGCTAATATAACATTGCACCTATAAATATAATGCCGTAAAATGTCGTGATCACCCATATACTTACATGTGGAAAGGAAATTAATGAGTTCCTTTTTCCAGTACCTAGAATGGGTCTTTCCGGAGTATTAAACTTAAAGCTGAGCACAATCAGAACAGAGCCTAGAAAACACGCTTGGTTCAGTATAATAGAAAGGGAAAACCCCTTTTACATTACATCACTGCGTGGACCTCTCCATGGAAACTTCCAGTACCGATTGGACAATTACGTGTGATTATTGATGCCGGGTTTTACTAAAATCATTGAAGCGTGACATTTGATCAGTACATTATCAAACATCACTCATTTTCTCAAGACAGCTGGGTATAGATATATATCAATTCCGTTATTAATTAATCTTCTTGTTTTAACTGCCTTGTCCAAACATAGGAAGGAAATAACTCTGATCTGTTTCTTGTCGGAAGTTAATAATAACTTAATTGACCCATTTTTAAATGAGCTATTAAGAATTTTAACTGATTTTTTAGGTTTTTATGATATTTTATTTTTTTTAATTATGTGTTTTTCCAAATTGATTAAAGAATTGTCAAAAATACAAGATCAAGTGATTGTTTTCAGTACCTCCATTCCCAAAACGCTTCCTCAGAAGGTTTCAGATGCGAATTATTTCTGGAATACGTATTACCACGTATATTTCCTAACCACACGTCAAATCCCGCATCAGCGAGGATATAACCTAGACTCTCGTTTCTCAGGTTCGTTAGCCAGTTCGTTGACGAGGCCAGTAGCCCGTGCTGTAAGAACACAACTGGACGGCTTTTCGTTGGGGGTTTTTCATTCCTCCCGTAAGGAATTCTCTGTAAGCCCAGAATGAAGCCGTCACTTGTGTTTACATAATGAGCCTCCGCTGGATATCCTTTACTTGTGATCAATTGTATCTGAAAGAATTAAGGAGGGTAAACATTTTAAAATTATGATGCTTACATTGCCTGTAGGCTACACTATAGTATATTTACTATTCTTTGTAAATTAACACAATGTTTCACTTGAGTAAGTTTCCTTTTATAATCTTTTTACACTTGTTTTCTACTTTTTATTTTTCATTGTTATTGTCGTCTGTATTTTGACCATACCCTTTTGTTGGAGGTGATTATCATATAAAGTGAATTGTGAATATTGTATTGCTGGGTCTAGCATCATATGATATTATTAAAATTGTATTTTATAATCAACAGAATAGTAATGTTTTGTTGCTGCCATATTATCATACTAGTATATTTCATGGAGAATTGTTTGCTGCATTCTCACAGATTCTATTGCGTGTGTGTGTGTGTGTTTTATTTTTTGTTTTTTGTTTTTGTTGAATTAAAGAGCGTTAATTGGGAAAAACGTTTCCGCGTGAACGAAACATGGGCGAATCGGTTCATTTCATTTTTATTGAGCTGCAAAAGCCATCAGGAACTTAGTATCCGCATGACAAATTATAAGATCAGCAACATTGTACCTGCTAACAACCAATTAATTAGGCTAAAATCTCAGTAATCAGGTTTATGTATAAGGTTTAGATTTAGTCCTAATAATTAATCCGATTTACTATCAATTTGCATTAGTGTTTAGCAGAATAAAAGACCAAATAAAACCAGCTTAACGTAAAAAGGTCATACTAAAGGAAATCATGTATGAACTAAACTAAAAAAAACACAAACAATTGCTTTACTGTGAAAAACTTATTTCAACAGGTCTCTACTACAATACTAGCTCAGTTGTGATTTTAATTATTTAAAATTAATTAATTTTCGGATAAAATTTAATAAAATTCAAGGGCTACACATAGGCCTACTTATTTTTTGCATAGTTGAGAATAAGACGTGTCATTTTGTATTAAGCCAAAGGTGTGTGATAATAGGCCTATATTAGTATTTTATACACATAACCGTGGCCTACAATAGCCTCTGTTTTTTGTTTTTTGGTTTTTTAAAGAAGGACATTACACCGTCGTTTCCCTACAAGTGTTCGTGTGGCATTCAACTTTCGAATCGTACCAGAATGAAAATATACACTCTTATATGGCCTACATTTACATTGGTAAGAAGAATCAAAATATGACGTCCAATATTGCGCCACTGGTAGAAAAACAATTATGTCCAAGAAATGCTTACTTTATCTTTAGTCCACATTATCAAAATCAAACAGAGCTATTTGTGGTGCAGGGGGCATGACCACGCAGCGGCGTAACGCCTCTCGAGGTGGGGGTGGCGCAGCTACGGGCTACCACTCAAAAGGGGCCACCTCTGGGGCCTCGGACTCTCCTGACTAGCACTTTACACCGAGTCTTAATAATGGCCTAACGCATGTGCTGTCCGGGGCCCAATCCAAATGAGCCCCGGACATACAGCATAACCCAGTAATCTACTATAGCGCCTTGACAATACTGCAACTTTCTATAATTTCAAAAAAACAAACAAACAAACAAAACAAAACAAACAAATAGACTAAAATCCCACAAACACACTCTTCGGCCCAGCATTTCACTATGTAACGCTTGTGGGCCCAGAGGCCACGGGCCCCCTCTTACTATTACCCAGCACTCTAATGCGAGGTTTTTGACAATAAGGTACATTTTCTTATAATTTTCAAAGATGTAGGGTTTCCGATCGGCTTCATCCCCACCCACCCTAGAATCTGCCTCCATCCTAAAAATGGCAATAAAAAAAAAATAGGCCTACATGATTACCGGTACCCATCATAGTAGGCCTGGCCTATATTATTATTAAATACATGTGAAGACATTAGGCCTACATAACATGTTAAAATCAATTAAAACAATATACTGATAATTCGGACTGATAAAGGCCTACAACACTATCAATTGGACCATAAAGAACGTTGGTCATTTCATTCATTATTCGCCTTATCATGTTTTATGGTGTTGAGATTTTTGTTTAGAAATGTTTGACACCATGACAGACCTAATGATGTTTAAATAGAAAATTGACTTGTTTTGGGGAGGACTACGGTAACGCGCTCCCCTTTCTTTACTTTCTTTTCTTCTCTCTCTCTCTCTTTTTATCTATTTTCATTTTCGGGTTTGGATTGGGGGGTCCTCCCCTGATAACAATTGATTTAATAGTTTTTTGGTAATGCTTATTTATATTGGCAAAGCTGCTTTGAAACCTAAATCAACACATCGTGACATGTAACCTGTCTACAATGAATGCACGTACGCAAATGACGATTTATGCGTAGATGTAAATGTACAGTACGGTACATACGTACACGCAAATATTCAAATTTAAAATGTGTGCGCAAGATATTAGTTGATTATAATATTGTTAAATAGGCACACAATATCGTCTAATAATTAAATAGTCTTTTAAATAGTCTTAATAATTACCTCTATGGCGATTACCCACTGGTCAATTTACTGACATGCAACGGGCACCAATATTTTCGCGCCCCGGGCTCCATGACTCGTCGTTACGCTACAAACTACACTGCCAATCTCTTCGCCCATTAAATATTTGATGTTTTTAATTGTTTTATAATGTTGGGGTTTTTTTTCTCCCTTTATTCTACATCAATTCTGCATTCAAGTACAAAGAGCCAGTCTTCTGGTTTACACTTCCCGCACATCATATTTTATAAAATTACACACTACTTCTGTTGGTCAATATTCTTGAAATTAACACCGTTATTTTAGAATTGCACAAATTAATTACATTTGAAACAAATCTCAAACCCTAAATTTCTTCAAGTCATACCATTGCTTATTTATTTAATTATGTAATTAGTTAATATTAGGCCTATATTTTTTGAGAGATTTGATGGTAGGGTACAGCTTATCGCTTATTGTTGATTTAATCCAGACTACCAGTATGCTGTTGACTCTCCCCTACTTTATCTTATCAAAATTTCTGTCTAACATATGTCATTACCAACATAACCAGGGTTCATACACACCTACATTGTGAGCTATAATAACCATTACAGTAGTTCTCTCATAGAAAGTTTGCGGTTACTGTTTCCTCCATTGATCTCAGTTCTGTCTCTCAGTTTTCACAAGCTCCTTTTGCTTTCAGGAGTATCGTGTTCACTTTCCTGTCTTTCCTTCCATTCTGATCTATATGACCTTTCTCATTACTACTTATTAATACTGTACTACTACTATAGACATTAGTCATTCCTCTCACAAAGTGAATCAAATAAGCCAGTGCTTAAGTTTCACAGATCACATCCAACACTCCACTTCTCTGAACTGTTTGTTCGTACTTTACGGTACCCGGTAGGCCTTATATACATAATGAAACGAAACAATGATGTTTATATGCCAGCTAATACTGTTAACAATAACACTTTTAGTGCGCATACTTACTGCATCCATGTTTACTTCAGGGTCTAACTTCTCTAGGTTTGTTCCAACATCCTGACCAAGAATCAGGCCAGAGAATATAATGACTAAAAAAGATATAGGCTTATACTGCCGTAACGCCGCCATTATTCTATTGTATCATCATAGCAATAACATATTTTATCAGTATAATAACTATCGACGTATTTTGAATGTATCCGTATCTATCCCCAGCTGAACTAATAAATCATGTCCAAATGTAAACAAGGCATATAGATTTGTCATGTGGGCTTGTATCACGAGAAACCAGTGGTTATAACCCATTTAATGAATAGAACAGGCCTGTAACTTTATTAAAAACCGAAATGTATTATTAATGCAATTTCAACCAACGGCTCATAACGTTATTATAAAATCACAACACAATGATTTGTCAGGATAATTAACATCACATCGATATGTACTATCTTTCTGGAGTTAGTCTTTTATTTTAAATCTCCCCTCGTATTAAATGGAACGACTTCATAATCATGTGACTTCATAATAGTATTAATTTATCAATATACCGGTATATGAACTATGAACTTTGAATTTCATTACCAGAAGGGCTTATATAAGTTCTAAATGAAAGTGAAAATCAGTTCATTTTCAACTTGATATAAGCGAATTGTTCTCTTAATGTTATTTTTTCCTCCATTATGTAGGCCTATACAAATAAGAAAAGGGAATGTAATGGTGTCCGCTCTAATGTGAATATAGGCCTAATGGTTGGTCGAAAGTTGAATGACATGAATCAAAACAATATCTACATGAGTAATTATTTTAAGTTGAGTATGGTCCACTCCAGAAGAAAATCGGTAAATTACCACTGTGGTACATAGATTACAAGTCTGTTAGTCAATATAAAACGTGGCAAATTATTATTTCACATTGACCAGCGATAATTATAATAGCGTGTTTACTTTACGATAGGCGTTTTACTGGACGATCTTTTAGTCACATTGTTTATTCAGGAGACTTGGCATTGACCAAGCTAAGTCCACTCTCTAAAGGAGATTCTGTTCGTATAATGGAAAAGGCACGTTTCCTACCTGTTTACATATATACATATATAC